TATGGTCAAACCCCCTATGGTCGAACCCCCTATGATCAAACCCCCTATGGTCAAAGCATCGCTATGGTCAAAGCCCCGCTGTGGTCAAACCCGCTATGGTCAAACCCCCTATGGTAAAAGCACCTGTGGTCAAATATCCGCGCACCCTATAAAGCCAGTGTCTAACAACAACAGAGTCGTTTCGTCGATTTTTTTTCTCTAAGGGTCAGCCCTTTTAAACACAACACCTCAGTGGGTGAGATCATCCACATTGAGGCAGTGCTTACATATTCTTTTATAACACTACGGAGGTTTGCAACTTGGGATATAGACATGATTTTTAATAAATTTTTAAGTACTAAAACTATTTAAAGTAGAAAAAAATCTCTTGCGCACCAAGTAAACGCCAAACAAAATGTGTTTAATAATACGGAATAGTTTTAGTACTTTATTAATTCACATGCGTTTTTTTTTTTTTTGAGAAATCGTAAATAGCGTAAATTACTTTTTTCGGTCAACGGAAACTACTAAAAATTTGATAGTGTGCAGAGAATTAAATAGTCTACGTACTTGTGAAATTTTATTAATCTATCTGAACAATTAAGAGTAGAATAAGTTCCAATTCCGGTTACCGAAAATCGCTGAAAAGTTAGTACAGAACGACAAATGTGATAAAATACTTATATTTTGAAAATTCATGAACCTAGCTGTAACGGTACTTAAGTTATCGTGTTTAAAGACACACATACATACGGACATACACACACAGACATACGGTCAAGATTGCAAAACTTTGTTTTTTTTACTCAGAAAGGTGTAAAACATCGAGATTTATAAAATCTCTATTTTTTGTGCACGATTACATAGCTTCCTCTATACTTCGTAAAAACCCTGTTTACGGCTGTGGATATCCAAAAAAATGACGCAAAAGTTATCATTGACGTTCTGTAAGGTAGAACTTAGTGGTGGGTGACAGGTAATGAGCAAAGTGCTTTTTTTTTCTTCTTCTTCTTCTTCGTTAGAAGAGATCCCCTCCAACACAATGAAGTATACGTATCAACTGGTTATGAGACATTGAGGATATTGACTTCGATTTCAGCCTGCTTTTCTTTTGGGATTGCTGCATAAGCCTTTGTCCAACCAAGAACAAACTATAAGGCAGCAGTTTTTTTTTAGAAGAGTGACTATCTTTATCTAACGAGCCTCATCTCGAACTCGAGACTTTTCGGTTTAGCAACCATGAGCTTTACCGACTCGACTACGCCGACCCCACAAAAAAGGGTCTCCAAGTTCGGGTACTACGTTACTAAAACTTTGAACGAAGCCTTTCAATAAAACGTCCGTGTATTATAATGAATGGTATATTTAAACTGATTATGAACTTCTCTAAAACTTATTTCTTTACTTACACTATACCTAAAAAGTATCATATGACTACAATATCACTACCCTTTACCGTTGCCCCTTCCTCTATAAAAGTTGTGCAATATGGACAGTTTGATGATTAACATGTCTGTATCATTGGTAGAGGAGTGCATACAACATTTTGGGTGAACTCGCAAATTTTTCATTCTGACTGGGAACGGATAAATCCTTAAGATGACACAACATACTAAAACTTGTAACTTTCTTCCAATGAAAAACATTCACTCTGTTAGATGTCGCCCCCCCCCCCCCTCCCTCACTGATGTGGATGTCCAGGGTCTGGGCCTGCCCACACCCTCCTCTCATCACGGCACTGAATTTGAGATTTCGAGTTTAATCCATTTTAAAAGGAAACATAATTTTGATTGACAACAAAGGTGATGTTTCGATTTAGTATTTGTTTTAACACTTTTCAGTATTATGTGTCAACAGTTTGTACGCCGTACGGCCAGTTAACTCCACCCTCAACCTCCTTAGCTTTCTTGACTTTTCTTTAATTGAGTTTCTAGTTTTGTTTTACACAATCTTATAGTACCAATCATGTTTGGTATTCCGGACAGCTCTTTATTCCCTGCAAGCTGACCCGCGACGTAACATACGCCGCTATTTAGTTTAATTTCTTTTTTTTCAGTAATTCATATTTTGTGAATTCGACACTTCCAAGCTGCCACTGAAAATATTTTGCTTTAAGACACTATCAGTAGCTAGTGAAGGACGATTATTCTCACCCTAACTTTCCACTCCTCTTCCCCTCCCCCCCCCCCCCCATACTCCGCCTCCGTGAAAGCAGCCGTCTGTACGACAGTTTACAGGGGACAATGAAAAGAGCAAGCAGAACATGTTATTATCTCCCTCTAGTTTCAAATCTAAATTATCTGCCCCTAAAAGCCGTCAATACGATTGTTAACAGCTCACCAGACTGGTGAGGGTAGTGGTGGTATTGATATGGTCTGCTGAGCTTAGTTGTTGGTGGTGTCTCGCATACAGAGAATTATATATATATATATATATATATATATATATATATATATATATATATATATATATATATAATATTTATATATATATATACATATATATATATATATATATATATATATATATATATATATATATATATATATATATATATATATATATATATATATATATATATATATATATATATATATATACAAGGCTGTTCCATTGTAATCCAGTTCTAATACTACGCATCTAAATCTATAAAACCCCACGTTCGCACCTCTCTCTCTCTCTGTCTGTCCGCAAAATATTTTCGCCGGACATCACGTCAGAAACGGCAGCGATATATGGAGAACTATACGGACTTTTGTTGAAAATAATATGTTAGATGTTTTAAATGTATAACCACAATTTTATTTAAAGAAGAAAAATAAAAATTAAAGGCGTATTCGAATGTAGAGAAACAGTATTATTTATGCAACCGGAAAAGCATTAATATATGTGAAAAAGAACGCATAAAACTGTGACGTCACTATTGCTTATACATTAACTAATGACGTCATCTGCCGTGTTTAGAATAAAAAGAAATGAACTATTTCATTCAAATTTGATTTAGATCTACGTACACTATGAAATGTATACAATACAATTTTTCCGGCCTAAACTCATAAAATTTATTTTATGTATTTGGATTCTAGATCTAGAGATTCTAGATCTAGACTTAATCTAAATCTAAATCTACGCAATAACTAGATCTAGACGTAGACGCTAAGATCTAGATTTAGACTCTAACTTCTCTAAAATCAATTCCAAAAATAAATTTCTATATTAGGACTAAACTATTTCAAGACTTATTTATTTTATACAAAATCTTTGTTTGGAACTGGCTAATTTGGGATAAAAAAATTAATTTGAAAGAATAGGTATATTCGCGTAAGTTAAGATTTTAAAATACGTGTTTCATTCTCCTTATATTATAAGGTGCCTAAATAGCGGAGATGTTAGTGTACATTAAACCACGCAGGTGGTGCGGGTTCGAGACACACCAAGTCAACTTGGTTAATGTATTTATTTTAATTATGCTCGGGCTAAACTTAAAAAAAAAATTCTTTTAGGAATCTAGATCTAGATCTAGATTGTCGGGTGTCCGATAGGGCACTTCCCGGCGCCGCAGGCGCTTCAAATTTGGCAGGACCTTGCCTTGGGGCGACAGAACACGGGGGCCGGTTGGCCGAAAAGTCTACGATGAGGGGGTCAAAACTGACCTCGACTGACCGGTATCTTATATGAGCTATAAATTTAAACAAAATGTCCACGGAGGAACCTCTTCATAACTCTTGAGGTCGTATACCGACCCTCGGGCGAATTAATTAAGCATTCAAATTCTCAATGTTTTCCAAAGCCTAAGCGAAGCTGGGCAGCATGCCTAGTTGACCTATAAGCGGCATTCTAGCACAAATGCCAAGCGTGTGCAACCATGCACGTCCTATCGCAGATTGGACTATCTGCGCCCGCCATATTGTTGCGTGTCTATGTTACCTTGGACCACAACCCACCGCGCGCTTTCATTATTGGACTCAATTTAAGCGTGGTATGCTAATGCGATTGTATACCTTCGTTTTTCTTCGCAAATTCTTTTAAAAGACATCAAATTTACACAACGTTAAAAGTAAGCTACGATCGCGGTTTCTTTTAAACACGTTACATATTTTTAGTTTAAATAATTTGTTACTGATTAATAAACCTGAAAGAATTTGTTTTTTTCCAGTTCATACAATTCCGAGAAGAATTTTACCTTGTTTGAGATAATGAACTTTAGACTACAAATATCGCAGAGTAGATGGATGATAGGTGTACTTTGTGTCTTAGCGGTTGGACTTTATTATAGCGTCAGTTTTTTCAGTAAGGTAGGTTGGATGCGTGGAAAGTAGACATTGTGTACTGCTTAATAAGCCACTGTATCTAAAACTTTGAATCTGCTCTAGTTTCATCAGATCTCAAGGAAGCCTATGAAGCGTGGTGAATCTTGCAAAATTACAATATGCCGGTTTTTTTCTGCTCGGCTTAAACCACCAGAAATAAACAGCATTTCAACTATAAAAATAGAAGTAAATGAACTAGAAAAAGCCACAAGTCGTAGCTATTAAAAAACTGTCAAGTGTACGTTTACCTAACACGATGCTCATTACAGAAAGGCTGAACAAGACCTGCAGTTTACTTTCTACAAGAGTGATCATACTGTCAATTCATGTTGATATAACAACACAAAGCTTCAATAAATTAGTTTAAGATTTTTTTATGATAAACATATTCAAAGGCATTTATTTTTGTAAAATAATGTATACTCTCTTATTGTCGGTATTTTTTTTTGTTTTACAAATGTTCGCAACAAATAATTTATTTTCACTTAGAACTATGATAAAGGCGCCCTTATTGGCCGCATTTTCAAAGACCAAAGATTTGCATCACACAAACAGAACGCTTAAGAATCACTTTAAAATCTTCAAAACTAACTATATAGAGCCGTTGTGTATAACATTCCAATATAATTTTAATTTTACTGCAGTGTAATAACGATTGTTTTTTAAATTTGTGTAGCCATCAAGTGAGGTTACTCTACAAGCTGCTAAACCCCATCCGATACGTGTACTGGATGTTCTGTCAAAAGTATCTTATCAAACAGCATACACTGACCTTCACCCTGATGTCATCATAGTCCCTTCTACTCCACCTGCGGGCTCGAGTCAGCGAGACGCCAGCTGCATACCGCTACCGGAGTCAAAGAGAAGTGGAGTCATCATCTGTCCTCACCCATTGGTTGAGGATAAATATGTATCCCAGGTTTTATTGTCGGTAATGTGCTCAGAAAATTTTCTTTCCTAAAATGTTTAAGTATTTACTTTCTTTTATAATTTATCTTTTAAAAATATACCTCTAAAATACTAACCTAAATTTTGTTAGCGTTTTACTTTAATTTTAATTTATCTCTAAAATAATAACCTAAATTTGTTTTAGTATTTTAATTTCATTTTAAATTTACGTCTAAAAATGTACTTCTAAAATACAAACCAAATATTTTTTTACCCTTTTACTTTCAATTTAATTTAGCTCTAAAATATGTAAGGTAACTTGGGGTAATTCCATACACTACTTTTCTAAAATATTTGTAAAAAATCTAAAATTAACACTACCACAATATAATATTGAGGGTATAACTAGACATGCATTACTTATATGATTGCAAACAAATATAGATATAATTCACAAAACAAAATACAATTTTTAAATATTTAACTTTTATCACAAAAACATGGCAAGTGGGGCAATTCCACACACATTATGAAAATTTAAAAATTTATATATTTCAAAATTTGTAAAAAAAAAAAATTTCCCCTTGGAACAAATTTTGCATGGGGGCAACCACTTTTTATCACTGGATGAAGACAAAGCCTCAATTTCTGTCTCCTGAGATCTGCTCTCAATAGTAGGCCTAACCTCGTCAGTCAAAGCTTTAGAGCAGCAGGCAACTTCTTGATCTGCGGGTTATTTTTTTGTTGTTGCCTTAACAGCTTTCTCTGCTGCTTCTGTCTCCAATCTTTCCACACATTCTTTTGAAGTAAGGCTCTCCCCATACGCTATTTTAATGGCCTTACCACGGCCACCATTTGTGTTTTTATCCCTGACTAGCAGGGGCGAAAGTTTTTTATAAAGAAATCCTTCATGGAGTCCTTATTGACTGCTGATGTTTCAGCGGGTGGCATTTAAGGCTGTGATAAAAGCTCTGGAGTAAAAGGCTGATCACTGTCACCGCTTGTTAAGTTAGACTGTTTTTCTGGCACAAGAAGAGCCTGTACAAAAATTCAGCTGACTCATAAATTGAAGTGCAAATGTGCCTAGGGTCAACAGGCATGATGTCACACTTACGAAAGCCAGCCTGGATATTTTGGGCAGACAAGCTTTCGTCTTCCCAAAGCTGCTTCAGAAGCATAAAAAAAAAGTTTTTTAGTTAGAGCCATCTCCAAGTTATGCCGTGCAAGCTTGATGATAATTTTTTCCCATGATGTCTTGGCAGGCCCATAAACCCCAACATTCAGTGGTCACTACACATGTGTGGAGTTAGATGGCAATTTGTGAAGAATGACACCATTGTCTGCAGCACATCTGATGGTGGCAATGCTCAAATGGGATGCATGGCCATCCATAATGAGGACAACTGGTCGTCCCTCTGGCAGTCTGGCCACAAAAAAGTTTTCAAACCAGTCATGGAATCTGGTGGTGTCGATCCACCCCTTGTCGCTAACATTATATTTGGCACCAGTTGGTCCATTCAGTGTCCAATTAACCCTTAGGTTTTTAGCTGCGTACAGAACATATGGGGGCAGCATCAGTCCATCTGCCCTGACACATTCCTGTACAGTAATGGAGTTCCTACCGGAAACACCAATGAGCCGAAACAGGTGACTTATCCCTTATTAACATACGACCGTAATACGTTTAAGGTCCAGTGGACACCCACTTTCGTCAACATTGTAAATTTTCTTCTTCGTTCTTAATTTTTAGTGTTGGGAGGTCTCGAGCCTTATTTGCCAGAGGGTTTAAACTCGAGACTTTTTTTTTCGAATTTATCAACCATGAGCTTTGCCGACTCGACCATGCTTCCATCACAATTAAGGATTACGTGTCAACTGGTTATGCGCCATTAAGGCCATTGACTCCGATTTCAGCCTGCTTTTCTTTTTGGATTTGCTTTCATAGCCTTTGTCCAACCAAGAACAAACTACAAGGAAGCAGTTGTTTGATTTTTGAGTTTTCTCTCCTGGAAGAGTGGCTGTCCCCAGCTAACGTGCCTCATCTGCCCGAGAACATTGTAAATCATCTCAGGCTTGTCATATAAGTTATTCAAGTGTCTCGCTCCTACAAAAGCTTGAACCATTCTACATAAATCATTTTGTTTGCTGATGATTTTGCACGCGATTTTTTTCAGCTGTTCCTGTGTGTCACAACGAGTGAGGCCGAATCCCCATCTGCCCAGGACTGTTAAGCAGCTGACCAGTTCAGTTTCTTCATCGGCTGTTAGTGTTGTATTTCTGCCAGCTCCCATCTTACTGTAGCGTCCTCTGACTTGGTCCCTAATGGTTGCTCTTCTTAGGCCATAACGGTTTGCAGCTTTCAGGTAGCCCATTACACCACTGATAACCTTTTCAACCACAGCTTTCATTGCCCCCTTATCATAGGCCGAAGTTTTTCGTTCATAATTGCGGACCATTCTGAAATGAGAACAAAATTAAATGTTAGAAAGTCTAATTACTAATATGTGTATGGTAATGTTTAGCTATAAATATTGCATAAATAATAATAAATAATATAGGTACAGTAAAAATACTAATATATAAAGAAATAAATGAAGTCTATAGCAGTTTCACTAAATTTTAATAGCAGAGTCTTTTTATAAATAAATAGTACTAGGTCTAGTACTATTTAAGTACTTTTTAAAAGTTAAATGAGTTGTGAATTTCAGATTTAGCCACAAACAGTTTAAATGGTTTAAAATAATAGCTAAACCCTCTCAAGAGTATAAAAAGCGACATGGAAAAGTTCCTAACTATAGGGTATGGAATTGCCCTACACCATGGGTGCGGAATAGCCCCACACCATTTGTGTGGAATTGCCCCACACCTACTATTGAGAAAAATATGCTTTCCTGTTCTATATTAACGGCTAAATCTAGCATCATTAATTGTTAACCATTAACAAAAATGATTAAGCTTTCATAAAATCAATAAATAATTGACAACAATTAAAAATTAGACAAAATAAACTGTTTTTAAAAAGTGCAGGGGTTGTACTTACGTAAGGATGTTTAAAGATAGATGCAGAAAAAATTAAAATTCTTGCTCTGACTGTAGATGAACGCTTCTCTAACAATAACAGAAAGTACAGGAACTGACTTCTTAGAAAGAGGAAATAGTACATTTTAATTAAACTTTACTCCCTTTTAAAATATAGAGTATTCGTTATAAAGGGTGTGGAATTACCCCGTGTGTGGATGTGGAATTACCCCTACCTCTAAAATACTCACCAACAATTTTTTAGCATTATACTTTTGTTTTGATTTCCCTCTAAAATATGTACCTCTAAAATACTAACCTAAAATGTTTATAGCCTTTTTCTTTCATTTTAATTCACCTCTAAAATACCTGACATTTAAAATGTGTTTTTTTTTTCATTTAAATTTACTATTGAACTACTAGCCAAATAGTTTAAAGTATTTTACTTTTCCGCCTAAAACGCTAACATAACATTTTTAAGTATTCTACTTTCATTCTAATTTAACGCTAAAGAAATGCAAAAAATTTAAACTATTATAGTTTCGTTTTAAATTTATATTGCTTTAAAAATATTATTTAACATTTATGAAAATTTTTGTGTTATGGGTATAATGAATGTGAATTAAAATGCAATATTTTTTGAGTGTGTAGGTGAGTTTGGGTGAGGTCGGGCTTGTGCAGTCGAGGGCGGGGGGGGGGGGGTGGGGGGGGGAAATGGGCGGACAGACAGACAACACATTTTTATAAAAGCTTTGAATTTTTTATATTAACCCAAATAGATGTATTAATTAATAAAAAAAACTATAAAGCAGGTCTAGATGATAATAATAGTATAATTAGTATTTAAAATTTTAGTTAGTTCACAATGCTCGTTAGTGGCAAATCTTGTTTTTAAATTCTGACCAATACCTAATGCAGAAATTTCGTTCGAATGTTCCAGAATCCTTCGATTTCAAGGGCGATGCATAAATAAATATTTTCAATTGAAATTAGATGTCCAAGTAATCTAATTATTATTATTTATAAATCAGTAAAAAATTTAATAATTTCTGTTCAAACATAAGGGTGCATATAAGATTAAATGCTAGCGATCACTCTACAGATTACTCCCTATTTAATAGAAAAAGGTGAGATAACTAGCTAGAAGATATCACCAGACCAGTCTAGTAAGCTTAGATCGCGCCAAATGTGAACAGTCGTAGAGCCGGGTGGCATTACTGAGGGCTATTTGTTGAAAATAATATATTTTTTAAATGATTTGAAATTAAAGGGAGGTAGCAATATTAAGAATTATCCTACGCTTAATCTGCTTGATGTAAATTGTAGTAAAAAATGGCTGCATTCACGCGGAAGGTAATAGTCTTTCAGCTACTGATGGTGTTTCAAAACTAATATCTTTAGTCGTGTCGACTACATAAAATAGGCATTACTAAAGGTAGAAAAACAAATCAATAGATTTTTTTCTAGCAACAAGCCTTCATTTGTGCCGAATCTAAGAAAAAAAAATTATTTGCTATCTTTAAAAAAAAAATAAACTTTGGTCGCGCTTGAGATCTTTTGCAAATGTTAGCAACAAAAGCTTTTTTGTCAGTGCATTTAAAAGCTTGTTGTTATTAAGATTTGTTATATTTGAATTATTTTATGATAAAATAGCATCTTTTACTCTACACGACTAATTATTTTTAACTTTTGATTTATTCTACAGCATCAGCTATGGGAAAGAGATTTAATCCATGCAATGGAAGACGCTTTAAAGGTACGTTTTATTTTCATACAATTGAAGTCTAGAATTGAAATGTATATATATATATATATATATATATATATATATATATATATATATATATATATATATATATATATATATATATATATATTATTTATTTATTTTTTTTTTTTTTTTTTTATTTATTTGTTTATTTATTTATTCATTTATTTATTTACTTATTTACTTATTTATTTATTCATTTATTTATTTATCTATTTATTTATTTATTTATTTATTTATTTATTTATTTATTTATTTATTTATTTATTTATTTATTTATTTATTTATTTATTTATTTATTTATTTATTTATTTAATTTATTTATTTATTTATTTATTTATTTATTTATTTATTTATTTATTTATTTATTTATTTATTTATTTATTTATTTATTTATTTATTTATTTATTTATTTATTTATTTATTTATTTATTTATTTATTTATTTATTTATTTATTTATTTATTTATTTATTTATTTATTTATTTATTTATTTATTTATTTATTTATTTATTTATTTATTTATTTATTTATTTATTTATTTATTTATTTATTTATTTATTTATTTATTTATTTATTTATTTATTTATTTATTTATTTATTTATTTATTTATTTATTTATTTATTTATTTATTTATTTATTTATTTATTTATTTATTTATTTATTTATTTATTTATTTATTTATTTATTTATTTATTTATTTATTTATTTATTTATTTATTTATTTATTTATTTATTTATTTATTTATTTATTTATTTAATTTATTTATTTATTTATTTATTTGTTTGTTTGTTTAGTTTGTTTGTTTTAAAACATTTTTTAAAATATTTAAAAGACCATACAATTAAAATGTTATATATCCATTCATCATGTAATCCTACAAATTTAATCTTAACAGAAGTGCCCATAGTCTTAAATAATTTGAGAAATCAAATGTGTGAATAAAATAATGAATTACCTTTATCCCTGGTGCTCCCACAGCAAGACCCCAACATGATGCTGTTTGACGTTGGCTGTAACATTGGTGTGTATACCGTATGGGCAGCGGCGATGGACAAGCAGGTCGTGTGCGTTGAGATGGTCTTGGCAAACGTCCTTAGGGTTCAGATGGCTCTTGCACTCAGCAACCTCAGCAGTCACGTGACCATCGTCAACAACGCCCTCTACAGTGATCATAGAGAACTGGAGATCAAATTCTACAAGTAAAATTCTACTTTAAGTTTCATTTTCATAAGTAGCCTATAATTTAGCGTCAAAATGGGTTTTTTAAAATTGTGTTCTTTCATTCAATTAATCAGTTTTCTCGGAACCTTAGCGGTCTTTGAAGCATGATATTTTCTTTTTTTTTTTGTAATGTTCAGCCATCTTTCTCAATCTCCTGCTGATCTAAATACTTTTACAATGTTAGCCCAAACCCATCTCTGATTTCCAATGTAGTTTTCCCCTTCCCTGTCTTGTCAGTTTTAACATTGTACCTTGCTTTATTAATTTTTGTTATAGTCTTTTGGGTTATGTGTGACATGCGTTTACCATCACAATTTTTTTTTTGACTGAGCTCGGTTGGTTTTAAAGGAACCAATCACATTCTTGATCTTTAAAATGACCAGAGGCGGGGCGGGGGTGGGTGACACCATTAAGGGGGGGGGGGGGGGGGGTGACACCAAGGCAAAAAATCAAAAAGTTGAGGGGGGGTGCAAATCGAAAACTTGAGGGTGGGGAGTGCAAATCGAAAGTTTGAGGGGGTGTTAATCGACACCATTAAGTGCCGCACCGGGTGACACCCGACCTCGCTACGCCACTGAAAAATGACCACTTATTAAGTTACGTTATCTTTGTTTGAGATCTACGTAAAGATAATATTTCAAGGTTCTGGATTATTCTCTAAAGGTCAGCGCTGAGGGTCTATGCCTGTTCCATTTCGTTTTGGTTAGATTCTAAACATGTTTATTTCGTAGTTTTTGAGTGCACAAGGACTACTTTAATTGTTGGCTCGTCTGTGACGGTAGTAATTAGTATGCCGTTGGCGCCGAATTTTTTGGACTAGAGTTCAATGTGAAACAATATTTAAATTAAACGATAGTGTATAGTGTTTTGAAATTAACTGTAAGGCCTACTATATTAGGCTAATGGCTATCCCTAGGGTACCGTTAGTTGCGGTCATTGGTAAGTCGGGTTAGAATAGTCTAGAATTAAGAGAAAGTGCACCTGATAGTTTTTTTTCACCCTATATCTATATATATAATTCTCTTCTGGGAGACGCTAGAAAACAAGCTGTAAACGCGCTCCCTACCACCCCCACCCCTACATGGTCTGGTGAGCTGTGGTTCACTATAAATGTTTACAAACAGAGCCGGGTTTAGTGACGACTATTAGGGGCAGATAATTAAGTATGAAACGATTTTAAACGTAGTGGGGGTGGGTGTAACTAAGTGGAGTTTACTTTAACGGAGAGGGGGGACGAGGGGGGGGGGGGGGTTATCGTCCTTAACGAGCTACTTATAGTGTTTTAAAGAAATATTTTCAGTGGCAGCGTTGGTAGTGTCGAATTCACAAATTATGAATAACTGAATAGTAGAAAAAAACAACAACTAAATAGCGGCGTATGATATGCCGCGGGTCGGCTCGTGTATTATAAAAGCGGTGTGATTGAGTGTGAGGTGAGCTTTCGTGGGTTAGACAGCATGTAGTATAGTACCTTCTTGTGGGAAAACGTGAATGAAGGAAAAAGACTAAAACAATGTGGTATTTAATGAATTGAATAAATTAAGTCCTAATATCGCCGTTTTTATGTTAATTATTGAGATCATCAGAGACGAGTTGTTCACTCGGAGGCCAGTTGCATTGCAATACAGAAGGTACCCGATGTTATTGATAAATGGCTCGATACATTATCGAACTTTAAGATTACTAAGACGTCACTCTCTTTACCTTTAATGCCAAAAGACTGTAGTCCATTTTGTTCACGCTAAGATGGGATTGCAATTTAAAATAAACCGGGAGTGATCTCCCCTAAACGTCCTCGAATATTCTTATATAACTTGGAATATAGACATGATTTTTAATTACTTAAACTTTTAAAAATAGAATAGAATCTCATAGAAAAAAGAATAATAATAATAATAGTGCGGAATATTATTAGTACTTTATAAATTTACATGCGTTTTTTTTGAGAAATTATGCAGCATAGCGCTCACATGATAGCCCAGGGCACCAAATCGAACCGTGCAGGGGCGCCGGCGGATGTGTCTGTTTCAATTTAGTGAACAAAATTATAATACTCCAAGCTTATCCGTAAATGATTTGTAGGACCTGGCTTATTTAATGTTATTGATTTAAAAAATAATTATTGAACAGTATGTTCAGTGTATAGAATAAATAAAAGGCGGTATTAAAAATACCAACGACATTGCACTTAATCAATCCCCGCTAATTATGTATTTTTTTTTTCTTAACACCAAAACAAAGTAATAAAAAGTACATTCTTTCTTCCCCCGATTTAATGGTTTTTAAAGGGAAGTAACTGTTTAGTCAATACATTTCAGACACAATTTTATAAACTTTATAAACGTTGATACACTTTTTTTTTAAATTTTATGTAAGGTTCATAATTCAAAATTATTATTCTAAGTATATAAAATGAAAATTGTTTTTAAAGACTTTCAATAGTAAATTTTTTAACTCATAAATTTAGACCATGAGCACTATAATAATCTAACACTTAAATCCATCGAAGTATCCACGACAAACATTTTACAAACAATCATTTTACAAACATTTTACATACAGAATTGAGCTTTATATATTAGACTAATAATATTCCGCACTACTATGCACATTTTATTTGGCGTTTACTGGTGTGCAATTATTTTTTTACGAGATTATATTCTACTTTTAAAAGTTTAAGTATTTAAAATGGATTAAAATTCGTGTCCATATCCCGAGTTCCCATACCCTTTTTTTATATAAGAATATTCGAGAAAGTTTAGGGGAGATCACTCCCGGTTTATTCTGTATTTCTTTTTCTATTTTTGCCTTGGTATCAACCCCCTAAATGGTGTCATCCGGTGCGGTTCACACACCGCGCCCACCCTTCCCCACCTCGCTACGCCTCTGGTGAAGCGTTAACGTAGTTGTAACGTTGATTACTTAAGATTTAGTTGAGGAATAAAACCGTTGTTTTGATAGATACACGGATTTTGTTGAAAAAATATGTTGGAATTAGAATAGGAGACGACAGTAGGGTTAGGATTAGGAGTTTAATTGATTGTGCTTTTATAAGTAAATTGTATTGTTATTTTAACTTTGTATTAATTCACTTTTTGTTAAATGCACAATAGAGAGACCCGTCAGGCTTTTAGTAGAAATCAGGTCCCGTATAAAAAAAAATTATTACTTGTTAACAATAATTTAGTTTTCATTATCTTAGGACACATTCTAAATGTTTACTAAAAATAATAATTAAAAAGCCATGTGACAATAACATTATAACTTACTTTCAGCCGTCAAGGCAGTGTTTCTTCCAGACTTTTTTCTCCGGGGAGGGGCATTGAAATTTTCGGGGGGGGGGGGGGCGGTAGACTTTCTTCGGGGGGGGGGGGGGGCGGACACTGTCAAAAGTATATATTTTCTGTATAAATTATATAAATTTCATTTCGTTCGTGGGGGGGGGGGGCGGTAAAAAAATTTCGGGGGGGGGGGGGGGCTTCGCCCCCCAGAAGAGATGCCTGAAAGAAACTCTGTGTCAAGGTCGTTAATTTAACGATGTGCTATTACAGTTATTGTTTATTTTCAGAAACAGCAACGGCCAATCTCGCCTCAACTCTTCAAAAGTGTACACCCCAGAACAATGGGACAACTCTCGCGCTGGGTTTAAAGTCAAGACAATCTGCATCGACGACTTAACTCCCCTTATGTCGGGGAAACCCGTCTTCATAAAAATGGACATTGAGAACACGGAGCAATTCGCGCTGATGTGTGCGCACCGTTTCTTTAAAGCTGTTGACGTGCGCATTGTGCAGATGGAGTGGGTGGTGCATGTGGATGCCGAGAGTGCACCAATTCTAGACTTCATGCGCGTCCACGGATATGCATCATCAAGCAGTAGCAAATCATATCGGCCGTTATCTCTTGCACAGTATAGCGGAGACGTGTATTTTTTGAAGAAATCTTTTTTCAACATTTAGACTAGTTGATTGGCAACTGTGGTGCAGCATATGCAAGTCGTACGCGTACGCACTTTTTAAAAAAAACATATCACCCTCGCATAAAAAAAACACACAAGGGACACACTAACACAACAAATCCACACAGACGAAATCGCACTGACGTGCACGACTAAAGCCACACACGGAAACGCACACGCACACGCCAAACAAAACACGCTAACGTATACACATGTACACACATACATTTATTTATGTTTTGATCGCTGTATTTTAAAATAAAGATTTTCGAGCCTTCAGTTTATTTAGACATTCGTCAAACATCCTATCGTCAGTTAAAGAGATTTATTATGTACCATATTTCTTGTATATAGGTACAGTGTCATCACTAGGTTTTATTAATGAAATAGAAATAGTATTATATATTAAATTGCTATAGCTTAATGCTTATTTTGGGGGTTATATCCAACAAGAATGTTCAGATGTTCAAAATCTTTTTCGAGTGGGGACGCACTTTTTATAAAATGTGACTACTTTGTAATTAGAAAGTCAAATTAGAAAGGAAATTAATAAACGCCAAAATAAAATTTTCTAGTATAATTGTAATTTAGGTTATTTTTTTTAATAACTGTTTTAATTCGATTGGTGAAATACTTTGCTATTATCTAGCCTCGAATTTCGCGGTTTAGCTTTTGTTAACGCAAACTTTATTTATGTCATTCTCAACATTAATTAGTTAATTTGTTTTGTTTTAATTGTGTGAGCAATTTTTCATTAAACATGTTACATGCCGCCATTCCACTAATCCCAGAATTCATCGATAATACTGGCAACATAATGGGAAGCAAAAATAGCTTACGTGTCAATGCAGTTTCCTCTTCTTTCAAATTCGGCAATAACGCCGCACTTCTTTTTCTAGAGATTCCATATGTACAGAATCCTCTTTCAAATTCGTAGTATCTCACACTCTGTTTCAGCTACCACACTGCAGAGACTCTCGAATATTGAAATATTTCCAATCTTTATTTTTCGCCAATTTTGCAGATTTGATAAAAATGCCCCGAGATTATTATAAAAAGAGATAATATTCGTTCATTTTTCCTGAAGCTTCAAGTTAAGCCTATTTCGCGGGTTAGGGTTAGACATCTGCTAGGTATGCTACTCTGTCCGCAACATTTTTGAGGCTTTGTGATCAGCATTTTCTGCGATATATAGAGAACATAACGATACGGACTTTTATTGAAACAATTTGTTTGATGTTTTAAATGTACAAACTTAATTTATTTAAAGAAGGTAAATTTTTTTAAAAGACATACTCGAATGTAGAAACACAATTTTAATTATCCAACCAGAAAATTGTTTATTGTTGCGGCAAGAACGCAAAAAACAATGACGTCACATGTAACATGTGTAAACTAAGTAAAGTACACAAAACTAATGGCGTCATCTTCAGATTTTAGAATATGAATAACGAACTATTTTATTCAAATTTAATTTAGAACTACGGTTCTTCTTATTAAGACATACGCTATGAAATGTATACAACTTTATCGGCCATAAGTAATACAAATTACTTTTTAAAATCATTTAATCAGCGTGTGCATTTAATTTGGTGTTGTGTTCACTGATAATGTATATAATTTGGTTTTCCCAATTGGTATTTCTAGCGTTTTTTTTTATTTTGAATGTGTCAGATTTTTAGATATTTAGTTATTACTTTGCTTTGTCACTAATATCGTTCTACGTGTAGTAAAGCACATTGCATTTTGACCAATATCGATTTTATAAAATGTTTTTTTTCTAACAACTATAACATCAGAATATACAGGCCTATAATTCACTTGCAATTTGCAATTTGGTAGGTAAAAGAGGTGTATTTTGAATACTCTTTTTCTATTAATTTTATACACTGAATGAACTGTTTGAAATTTATAATGTTTAATCAATTAAAGCTTAGTAGTCGTTCCTGAATATCTTCTAGGTTCACTTTTATCTTTCCTTTGTAGATAAGATGGAGTAGTATAGTTCACTAAATTTAAGCAGTCGCATCCGCCAGCCTGCGATTTGCACACGGCCAAGGGGTCGACGTGGTCGAGTCGGTAAAGCTCATGGTTGCTAAACCGAAAAGTCTCGAGTTCGAACCCTCGGGCAGATGAGGCTCGTTAGCTGGGGACAGCCACTCTTCTAGGAGAGACAACTCCAAAATTAAACAACTGCTGCCTTGTAGTTTGTTCTTGGTTGGACAAAGGCTATGGAAGCAAATCCAAAAAGAAAAGCAGGCTGAAATCTGAGTCAATGGCACATAACCAGTTAACACGTAATCCTTAATTGTGATGGAAGCATGGTCGAGTCGGCAAAGCTCATGGTTGATAAATTCGAAACCCTCTGGCAGATAAGGCTCGATCCCTCCCAACACTAAAAATTAAGAACGAAGAAGAAGAAAGAAGAAGAAGAAGCACCCCGGCCTATCATGTGAGCGCTATGATGCATACATCTATTATAGTACTAAAACTCAAGTTTGTTTACATGTTTGAATATTTATTTGTTTGTCTGATTTGGTACTGTAAGGAAACTGTTCTATATGGGGGACTGTAAAATAGTACGTAGGTAGAGAATAATGTTTGATTGCAGACAGACTATTAATCACACATTTATTGAAAGACGTTAATTAATTTAGTGATTTATTCATAGGTAGATTAACCACATCAATTTTAAAGTTTTAGAACTTTGACTGAATAGTGACGTTTGATAACTCATTTTTTTTTTATTTGTTATTGGGGAGAAACTGCATTATGTGTAGAGCTGTAAAATAGGATTTCGGGTGGTAAATATTGTTCTTTCATAAACACACTGTTAATTACAAACTAATTTAAAGCCGTTAATAAATTTATTGATATATTCATTGGTAGATTAACCACATTAATTATAAAAGCTTAGAACAATGAATTTAGTAATAGTAAAAAGATTTATTTTCATTTTACAACAACGTTTTCAATTATTCTTTCTTAAGGCCTATATGTGAATGATAAGGTTGACTATCAGGACCTCGCGGGGCACAGGGCAGGTGAAGTAGAGTTCACCTGTTTCTATGTTCTCAGCATATGAAGTGATAGTGTGGTCAGAGCCATGCTCGGCCGGAATCGTTTTTTTTTTAAATGCAAACATGTCTGAGACTTGGCGGGGCACTGGGCAGGTGAAGTAGAGTTTAGTAGAGTTTTTAAAATATAAAAAACGTCTTTTTAAATGTGGGGTCTGGTTATTTTGGAATGAAAAGTGCTGGCAGACGTGATGTCATTTATGGATGACCCCCCGAAACCCACAGTTATCTAACTAGATAACGGGTAGTCTAGTTTATTTTAAAAACTGCGATAGGCGGTGAATAAAAAGGGTTACGATTGTCGTTCACTAAATTGAATCCAGGGCATTCATTGTCAACACGACAGCATGCTATTTGGTTACCCGGGTCTTCCCGTGAGTGCTATTACACCTAAGTTCTATTGAATGCAATAGACTATCGATAAGATGGGGTATTATAGTCGTTTACCAAGTCTACTCATTCAGATTTTTATATAAATATATATATATGAGTGTGTATGTGAGAGAGAGAGCGGTAGTCTAGGAAAGGTTTAATAATTACGGTGTATGATTTTCATTACCTGTATCTTAACTCGACACCTATTAATTAAATATGTTATACCTTGAAAAAGATTTGTGATGTCAGAAAAAAAAACTTCATCTGAGTTTAGAATTGTAGCAGACTCTAATTTGTTTAGGGCAGTCCTTTTATTTTGTATCTTAGGAACAGTCTTTATTGTGATATTAATAGTTGGATTTTAAAAGTTTGTTGGAATAAGATCGTACAAGTAAAATACAATAGTAAGTATTCATAAACATTTACTGTACACATTGGAATACGACATGAGTAATGCGTTGCTTTGTTGATTGTATAATTAAACAAGGTAAATAAAATAAATTGGAATCCAACAGACACAACAGTTTGAAATCTTGGATTTCTTAGATGTGCGCAGTTCTGTAGCACATAATTAACATTAAGGGCCGTATAAATTGTAGTGGTCGAATACGCAGTATTAACATATTTAATGATAGTGGCACCGTCCATGACGCTTTGATTAGAATCAGCAGCGATAAAATGAGGTTTAACATTATCAGCCAATGTGGAATCCAAATGCATTGTCAAAAAATCCAATCAGGATCTAGAGCTAAAAGTAAAGTATCTTTTACTGTCAATGTCTCAAACAATATCACTTCTACCAGACTGATTTCTTTCTTTTCACGTAGATGACAAAGCTATGTGTTATAAATAGGATTTAATTAATTAGATGTTTAATTAACTTTTCAAAAAAAAAAATTAACTCTACATTTCCTGCATGCGTTCATTTTAGTGCGCGATTCTTTTTCAAGTATAAAAAAAAATTAATAAAAATAACTTTTCTATAGCCCAATTGCATTGGTAGTGCCATCCCCCTTACTGTTATATATGGATATACGACACCTTTTTGGGGAGATTACTTCCGCCTTTTTCTTTGATTGTCTTTAAATGTAAACACAGTAATAAAAAGGGTAGTTTTAGTACTCTTACAAATTTAAATGAATAACAAGTGCAATGTACATGCGGCATTTGATTGCATTTAAGGGGATATGCTATGTTTTTTTCTATGTTTTACAGTTTAAGATCTAAAGCCTTTTGAATACTTTTATCATATTTGGCATATAAAAGTAAGTTTTAAACAGCAAAAAAAAGGTCGAAAACAATTTTGGTTGTCATGGAAACCCAAAAAACCTCCGCCATTTCGAATTTTTCGGTACTTTTAAAAATACTAAGGCTTTTTAATTTATGCACCTATAGCTATCAAATTTAAACTGCATATATTTCAGTATATATTAAAACTTTTGTCACAACATTTTGAAATAATTACAAGGTCTAAAAAATCGTACCCTTTTTAGTATTCACAAGTTTCAAAATGTGCATATTAATTACCAAAGTGACAAATGTTGTATTTTCGCATTAAGAACATGTACTGAAAATATGGTTGGCATTATTTAATAAATAAAAAAATAGTAGGCTTTTTAGTGTTAAAAACCTGAGAAAAACAGCCAAAAGTAACGAAAACTAGGTCAGGAAAGTACCATATCTGTGTAAACTTCAAAGCCGATTGTAAGCTTTGGTTGTTTCCGAGATGTAGGAAATTAAGTTTATTAAATACATGAGAAATCCAGCTTTCCAATGATGTCAAATACAATATAAAGACGGATATAAAACTTTTCATAGAGATCTTGTAAGATTGGGAAAAAATTGATTATTTTTTAATTAATAGGGTCATAAAAATCGTAATTCAAACACATAAAATTTGTTTTTCTCTTTAAAGTTATTTTCTTTATACAAAAATGGACAAAGTATCCAAAAGTGCAAGAAACCCATCATGACGAAAAACAAGAAATTTTGTGATTTTTTTCCGCGCATATCCCCTTAAACTGTGTGACGTTGTATACCTGACGATAACTCTTGCATATACATGGGATATTACTCAATGCAATACCGTGTAACTCCGCTTTCATCCTGTTCTATATTTGGACTCAACTTTCAATAAAATACTGTGAAAAAGAAAGTGGCTGCAAAGGGGAATTTTTTTTTTTAAAATTAAAATACAAGGGAAGCTACTAGTACTATGCTGCACTGATGTTAGTATTTTAGTTGTTATTTCCCTTGCGTTACTACTGTAATTGCTTGTTTTCCTTACAAAAATGTTTTACAAATATTTTCCCTAATTCCACGTCACAGTGTAAAAGTTTATCTAATTTTTATTTATTTTTTTTTTTAGTTTTCTCACGCATAGACATGAAATATACAATTCAACTATAAATAATATTAACTGTCATAAAGTATGTAAATGTATGTTTATTACGGTGTGTGTGTGTGGGGGGGGGGGGGGGGGTGGATGGAGTTGTCAATTTATGACGTCAAACCTCTATGAGTATGACGTCAGAAACTTTTAATCGGAAGTTTGACACGTGACTTGTAGGTTTGCCTCGAGGGCTAAAAATATCCGCAGTATCTGTCAAGTTTGTTCAACCTGCTGTGATAATGTGTTGGCCACACACGTACAGTACAACAGAGGCGTAGCGACCATTCCCGGCGCCCAGGGACAAACCAAACTTTCAATATGGCGCCCCCTTCGGGAACAACCTTTCGATTTTCAATTTACACCCCCCCCTCCAACTTTTAATGTGCACCCCCCCCCCCACTCCAACTTTTTTTGCACCCCCCCACCCCCTCCCCCACTCAAACTTTCAGTTTGCACCCCCCCCCCCCCCTCAGACTTTCAATTTGTTGTTCCAACCCTCCGGTCGGAGCCCGGGGACATATGTACCCCCCCCCCCCCGCCCCGCCCCCCTCCCTCCCCCTTCGCTTCGCCTCTGACGTACAACAGTGGACCAAATGTCAGGTTTATCCAACCCGCTGCGATAATGTGTTGGTCAGACAAGAACAGCAGACGACCAAGCCAGCAGGATGTTTTATAATAGCTGTCTGATTGTGCTAATTCAACTACGTAATCATTGACTGGA